TGGGTTAACAAGCATACAAATCCTAAGTGGCCCGGGGCTTCTACAATCCTAAATCCGGCACTCTAGTGTGTGTGTGCGTAGACACGCTGGCTCCTTCTTATATACATGAAACTTGTACTAAAGTTGGGGCCGCAGCCGACCGTGCTCAGTTTCTCAAGCGTCGTAAATACTCTTCCAGGGCCGGATATAGGATTGTGGAGGCCCCGGGCCACTTAGGATTTGTATGCTTGTTAACTCATCGAAATTTTGTTATTTCTTAAGCTGTTGTGGAGGCCCCTGGGCCACAGCCCCACCTGCCCTGCCTTTAATTCGGCCCTGAGATTAATATAATCAAATAATCATTATGTTAGATGTACAAAGTACTATAGGCTGTAGGTAAAGGTAAAAGAGCAAAAAAAATATCAGGAGGAAAAGATGTTTACTAGTGGCTATTAGTTGGAATTTGAAAGATTTTTTTTTCCAAAGTCTCTATTGTGGGGGCCCCCCGTTTGTGGAGGCCCCGGGCCTAAATCCAGCAGTGTACTCTTCTATAACTGAAGATTATGAGTATGCGGCGTTAGCTTTCGAGACGTTAGGGTCGTGGTCGGCTGACATGAAGCGGTTTATGAAGGATATGTCGAATCGACTGATTCTCTCTTCGGGTGATCAGAGGGCTGGCAGCTATTTCGCACAAAGAATCACTTTAGCCATTCAGCGAGGTAATGCTGCCAGTGTTCTGGGTACCGTGCCCCAAATTGGAATTTTGGATGACATATTCTTCTTGTGAATATGTATATTAATATTTTGGGGTTAATTTTTAATGTAGACTTGTTGAAAATATATCGATATTTTTTGTTCGATATATCGATATTTTTTGTCGATATATTTTGATTCGATATATCGATACATCGATACAAAATAGCCAATATCGAAATTCCTATTAAAAACGATATTTTTTTAATTATTAGCGTCATATCACGATTTAACTAAATTCGTAACTGGAAAAATCGTAACTGGATCTCAGATTAATGATATTCAACATATCTATAATCTGTGCTGTATTTAGTATTGTCTATGTCATCATTTGAAAATAGGGTCTATTTTTAGGGCGATAATTTTCGTTCCATTATTATTCCGCGTGTCATATTTCGTGAGCTACTGTACGATATTTTTGGGAAAATTGGTCCGATATATCGATGTTTTTTCGCGATATATCGAAGCCGATAATGATATTTTTTAAAAGATCGATATATCGATATTTTTTTCAACTTTCGACATCCCTATTTTAATGATAAGTTTTTAGTTTGATACGTAATTATAGTTATTTCTTCAATATTTCACTAAGTACCTACAATTCATAAGTTTTCTTGACCATTGTTTGGGGTGGAGGGTTGATAACCTGGGATACAGGAATTTTCCTAGTTCAGGTATCAGCCCACTACAATCTGCTATATTGTACCATTGCTTCATGTAAGTCTTATTTAGATTGTGGTATGAGAAAATAAAAATTATACTCTCATTTATTTCATTTCACAGTTAGGTTTTTTATAAAATAGATGTAAAAGTAAAATACAAAAATAAATATAGTATAAAAAACCTAGCCTAGAAGGCCACCAGCAACGGGGCTAGGCCCAAGCTACCGGTGGTTAGGGCCGCAGAGAAAGAAACCGCCTGACGATGCGCGCCCTGTCCAGGAGTACTGCCTTTTGCATCTGCCACTTGACCCAACCATCTAGCGAGAGGCTCTTTAGATGTTGGTAGAGACTCTTCGCTATGAGACCGTTCACACTAACGACTATAGGGACAATTATCGTCGAAACCACATCACACAAAGCGGTTACCTCGTGGGCCAAGTCCTTGTTGAGCTTGTCCTTCTCGGCCTTCACGAGGTTCTCGTCATGCGGGATGGTGATATCGATGAGCACGATTATTATTATTACTAGCAAACCAGTGAACCAAATGTTCACCAAAAAAAAATAAAAAATTAACTAATTGAGAACTTCGGAGATTTTGTGTGGCTTCGTTTGAAATAGAAATAACGTGATTTCTCGAAAACCGAAAGTGCTACGTTACTCACATCCGGTTTGTAGTCTTATCAGACTATTCTTAACTTATAACTTAAACATTCTCTTTATCTATCTCTTACGGTTTGGCCGCTGAAACAGTACCATAGACAGACGGACGGACGGACGGACGGACTTGTCTAATAGATAAGAGATTATCTCTCACTCCTAGCTTCAGTAGATACGTTGGGTTTACCCAATTGTTTTGTTCTCAAGTGTAAGTAAACGGGGTATAGTATGCCCGTATTCGGGTTGTGCCTGAATGGCGCTGCCTTGTATTGTGTGTGTGTCATTTTTTCTAATAAAACTTTCTTCTGATTTAAACCTCTAGCAGTTACATGCTTAAATAAAATAACAAATATAAGATTCCTCTTTATAATTTTATTATAGATTCCAGCTATATTTAAAATTTTCAATAAATATTTCTTTTATTTAATCCTTGTTATTTTTCCTAAAATTTCGTTCCGTGAATTTTGAAAAGCTATGAAAGCACTGGCAACTGCGAATATGTTACTGACACTGTCTTTGGGCACAGACTTATTTTTATTATAGGTTTAATTTTAAATAAACCGTGTGAGTCAGACTTGCGCATTGGGTCCGTGCCATTAACTATAGAAGCACATACATTTCACAATAAATCATTTGAATTAAATACAATATTCTAATATCGCGCAAAACACGGCCAAAAATCACATCTGTTGTATGAGAACCTCCCTTAAATATTTATTTTTATCTGTATTTAGTATTCGTTGGTATAGCGGCAGGGTAACAAGGTACGGGACCTTGTTTTACCCATACTCGTTAGATAACGCCTCATGTTGTCTTTATGTATGTGTTCACAAAACCACCCCAAAAAATGTATGTAACAAAATGTATAACCTTTTATTTCTGAATATTACTTTAACATTTTCTGTATTTAGTTTTTTTTTTGAGAGTCAATTTAATTAAAAGTATCAAATTTTTAAATTTCCCTTGTTATTATATATATTTATGTGTGATATTATGTAAATATAATGTGATTTTACAAACTAAATAGATTCAATTACTAAATAAAACAATTATTTTGCTCAGAAATGAGAAACAACATTTATAGAAGTCTGTGCGGAAAGAGAATGGGATTTAAATTGGAGGGCGCTGTAGTGCTTTTCTACCGTATTTGTGAGGTTTTACCCCTTTTAGACATGATTAAATACATAAAACCGCAAGAAATCACAACAACAAACAAATCCGTATCAATACAAAACTTTGACGTTTTACAGATTGCTGGGTTTGATTGCCAAATAAAAATCTTAATGTTAGTTCCGTTTTTCGCCACGCCCATTCTCTTTCTGCACAGACTTCTAGCTATTATTCCGTGCAATTGTTCGTGCAAGAATATTTTAATTATTAATTGACAAATGTCAAAAACCCTATCTTTTTCTATGGTCACTCACTATTTCATCATCCGGATTGGTCACTTACATAAATAAAATTTATTAAAAACTAGGATTAACGAAATATTAGGATAAACGAATAGATGTATGTGACAATGTGAATTAGTTCTCGTGAATATTTTATTTCGATTAAAATAGTAATCGAGTAAATACTTAAATGTTTAAATATTGAAAGTATAATAAGTACCACTTAATTTTAAAAGTATGCCCTAAGCCATTCAGGTGAATAAAAAAAATATTGTTAATGGAAAAAAATTCTCTCGCCCAAGTGCTATTTTCACTCCAAAATGGGCACCTTACAGGAAAACTCAAATTCACACATTATAATGTGACACGAAAAAAACTCTTGACACCGCTCGCACTTGACTTCATACTGACTATAATCTATTAAGTTAAATAGATCGGATTTCACGGAAGTAAAACATTCTGATTGCATTTTCATTAAAACAATATTATGTAAGTAAGTGAAATCGTCGAAAGTGTGTTTCTATATTATAGTTAGTGAATGGTGTCAAGTTGTGTGAATTGGAACATGTGTTAAAAAAAAATAGTGAACTTTTTTTTAGTTTTATCGCTGGCCTGTAATACTGTTTTCGGTAAGTTCTTTTTTGTTACTACTTTAAACATGTATTTAGGAAAACTTTTTCAAATGTCATAAAGTTATTTTTTTTCTTTCTTTATTTATTTAGAAGCTTTCATTTCTTACCATGAGTATGTTGAACATATGATTAATAAAAGACTCGAGTAAAAAAACTAAACTAATAAAAAGTTCTGACACAACAATTTTATGAAAAAAAAATTGGTACTACATATGTAATCAAAATAAATCGAGAATTTAAAATTTAAATTATAATCTGATTTGAGATACAGTTATAGCAAATATAATTTATCTTACTTACCTACTAAACTTACTATAAAAATCATAGTATTAGTTGTAAAAAATTGCATGAGTAATGTACTTTTAAAATTAATGTCTTCTACACCCAATTTAGGCATAGCTTAATTAAGGCATAGCAATAACATATATTTTAAATAATAAAATATAATTATGTTATTTATAATTTATTATTTGCGTATAAAAATTTAACTTTTTAAAAGAATAAAATACAAAATAGGAATGATCAAATGCTCGTTATAGGAAATAGACATTCGTACGAATATTTGTACTCATCTCACAGGTGTTTCTACCGGGATACGAACCTAGTTCCTTTTGGAGCACGGGGCCTGCATCGTTTTCGGATATAAACTTTAAAATAAAACACAATTGTTGCCTGACTTCAAAGCTAATTGTAGCGTCATTTATGTCACACCCTACAACTCGCACAAAAGTTACAGCAATAAAAAAAAGTCTTTATTATTTAACGCCAAAAAACCTTGTGCCGAAATATATGATACCTTTGTCTTTGTGGCACCAATGAACGACAAGAACCAATGAAAATAAAAATAGGTACCCTATCACTAATAATGGTAATACCGAGCTATGGACGCTTATTAATTAAAAGAAAAAAAATACAATGGTACTCACAGTTGTTCCTGTCGCCAGCAAAGAGTTTGTGGAACCGTATGAAGTCCGGCCGTCCGCCGAAAAACTTTCCGTTCTGATTCAAAACCTCCCTTATTAACTCCAAATTGTTGACCACCAAACATGGTGTGTTTCCCAGTTTCAAACTGAATATGTCGCCGTATTGCTTCGACAGCTCCGTGAACGCCTGAAAAGGCGATTCGTGCTTGCCCAAAAGGTGTAAGTTCCCTATTATAGGCAAAGGAGTTGGCCCCGGTGCCGTCCGAAGCGTATTAATCACCTCCCCAGTTCTATTTACCCTTTTTAGGGTGACTGTGTTCTTACGGGAGAAGAATTTGTATGCGCAAAGCACTATTACGACGGCAAGGAGGATGGCACTCATGGTTGTTATTTTTTTTTTGTTTCTTTAAAAAGAAATTTTTCAAACAACAAGTGCGCCCCCGATGACAGGAGTTTTTGGCGGGAAACACGCCTGCACTGCGCAGGGCTTCGCGCGCGCGCCATTTTTATACTAACCTCAAAACGAATTTGCATTTTCTTCGTATCTGCGTTCATGTACGGTGTTTTGCCGTGTTATTTTTTTTTCTCTTCCTACAAACAAGACAATATCATCTTTAACATCTTCGATATAAGAATGGTATTGAGATGTTTTGTTACAATTCTGCATTTGATTTTGTTTTGAATAGTGGCTGCACGGAAAATTGTATCTTGCGACGTTTGAAACGAGGTTATTATTTGCATGATGCATCGAGTTGTGATATTGAATCGCTCGACTTAAAGAGGGGTGATTTTCGTTTTAATGTCAAGTTATTTGCATTTTCGCTTGTAAATACATGAATGCTAACATTTTCTTCGTCTTGTTAGTATTTTCAGAAAGTCTAACTTAAATCCATAGGTTTAAATAGTAAATAGAGGCAAGGCACAGCGGATTTACCGCTCAAATTGGAGCGATCATCTAGGTAGGTAACCTCAACAGAATGCCCAACTTCCCATGCCCCGCCATTTCAGTCGGTCATAGTTAAGTCGCGCCATCTGTCACTTCTGGTTTTCATCATCATAGGCCTCTCCAAATGCACGCCACTCAGATCGATCTTGCGCTACTCGCATCCAGCTCCTGCCAGCCACCTTGCGCAAATCGTCACTCCATCGCGCCTGAGGACGTCCTACACTACTTCTGGTTTTAATTGATTTTAAAACAGTGATCGATAAACTACTTTTAAATTAAAAAAATATATAATTTTATTAGATAAAATAATCATAATTAGTAAATAAACTTTATATAATAATATGTTCGTAAAAAAACTTAATTAATACGTTTTGACGGCGACATGTGACGCGGAGTTGTCAAAGTTCCAATTACTTAATTCAAATTGGAAGTTTAATACAACTTTGGTATGTCCGGTATACGGCCTCGGAATCGCCGGAAAAAGACCCATTTCGGTCAAAGCTCTTCTTTCATAAAGTTCGCTAGGTGTTCGGTTCATTAATTTATTCCCAACAGTTTAGTTTGCCTATTGAAGTACCCAGGGCCGGATCTACCATATGGCTTTTCGGGCTTCAGCTCAGGGCCCCGTGGATTCAAGGGGCCCCAAAAAAATACATTGTTGAATATAACTCCATTGATATTACCCCTATAATGGGAGGAGCAAAATAAAGAATTTGCCATTTCTGCACTTTGTAGAAAGGTTTCTTTGTAATTTGTCCATTTATTAACGATTGTATAACACTAAGGCATAATATATTATTATTTAAATTAAATAGTTTACTGTCTTATTTTTTCTATACTTTGAGTACTTACTATTAAGTACTAAGGAGCCCACCTAATTACTCAAAGTATAAGACCGTGAGTTTAGGGGGCTCAGGGCCCCCTAAACTCACGGTCCGGCCATGGAAGTACCTACATAGCTCTTTCACCACACGAGTGATACCGCGGGATAAAACTCGGTACCTATTTCTGTTGCCATGTCAAGGCAACGCGTAAATAAATAAATTACACATCATTGTAATTTATTTATTTACGCGTTTATTGACATATAACTGTGTGACCTAGCTCAATGAACTGCTTAGCTGAGAATGCAATTTTCCAGCATATTAGTTTGAGAAACGTAAATGAAATTCCAACTTTAGATAATAATAACAATTACTTATTATACAGTAGTACATGAGGAACTCGATGGCGCAAGTGGTTAGCGCGGTCGGCTGCGATCGTTGAAGTTAAGCAACTTTCGCAGTGGTCGGTCATTGGATGGGTGACCAAAAATTTACTATATCGAGTTCCTCCGTGTTTGGGAAGGTTAAGCCCAGTCCCAGCTGCATCTGCAGTCGTTAGCACTCATCAATCCGCACTGGACCCGCGTGGTAGGTCATGGCCCGATCTCCCTATTCCATCCATAGGGAAGGGCTGTGCCCCAGCAGTGGGGATATTAATAGGCTGATGATGATAATGATGATTTTAGTATAGGGGTCGCCTATAAGTCGCCGAAATTTGACCTTTTTAGTGCTTCTGTCAAAGAGTCATTTTGTGTGTGTCAAAAGTTTAAGAGAAGAGCCTATGTACACCAGTTTTTTTTTAGAGTTGTAAAACGCGCTTTTTATCCTACAGAGAATTTTTTGTCGTCTGCATCGCTACAAACGCGCGTCGACGGTGCATGAGCACCACAATTTACATTATAACACGTTTTTTACACGCGTCTAAATGTCAAACTCCGTAGTAATTAAGAGAAAATATTACTAGAACAAATAGGGGTGATAACGGGGTACAGTAAACGAAATTCTATTTAGTCCGTCAGTTAGATGATCAAAAAATAATGGACACGTATTTTTTCTTTGGGCAATCAACCAAGAAATGACAAAGTTATAGAGCGTCAAAGTTTGGGAGTAGGGGCTCGTGACGTCACTTTTGAGTGAATTTTCACTTATAAGTGTACTCAAACATGACGTCATGCGACTTTTCAAATCAATATATCTCTGCAATGTTTATATTATGTGAAAAAAGAAAAAATACGTGTCCAATACTTTTTGACAATCTAAACTAAATTTAAATTTCTAAACGAAGAAAAAAAAATGTCGTCATCCCTATTCTAAGCGGACCAGTCAGCAGACGGGACTCGTCGATACAATGCTAAGAGATGGCGTGGCCTTGCAGCTTAAGAAAGGCTAGAAAGAATTCGACACAGTCACATAATGGTCAGTGCATTCGCCCGGATAGCGAAGGGCGCGAGTTCGAGTCCCGTCTGCTGCCTGGTCCGCGTGAATTTTTTTCTAGTAATATTTTCTTTAGATTTAAACATCGAGCAGTTACATGCTTAAAAAAACTTATGTCCATAGTAATTTGACAATTGATCGTGATAAAAACGCGTTATATATCATATCGTGGTGCTCAAGCTAGGGGTGCTGGTACCTGTAAGTGTGCAATGGTTTACAGCCGGTCTATTCGCAAACTTTTGACATTAACAGTGTGTGACTTAGTGTCGCCGCATACGGGCTACACGCCGCAGCCACAAACGCCGCCACGAGAAGCTAGAAGCGGCTACTAAAGTGGCTGAAGCGCGCGACAGCGGCCGACTAAGGTAAGAGAGAGAGAGAGGGGTGGGGAATCGCGCGAGTGACGTGTGGCGGCGTTTTGTATCGGCGCATTAAGTGGCCGGTGCGGGCCACAAGAAGCGAACAACGACGATTTGTAGCGTGTTGCGGCCACCGGCGTACCGCGTGTGGCGAGTCCATATAAAATGTATGAAAACTACAAGAAATATGCCGGTGGCGGCGTTTTGTGGTTGTGGTCGGTGGTGCATATCCATCGATGATTTTCAGAACGAGTATCATAGTGGCCTTATGATAAAGCTGTAGTGGATCACTGAATAGTTCGGTGATTATAACTTCCATCTGTCAAAATAGGCCTACAGGTTGCGTCGTCAGAGCAGTTTGTTGTCGTCTGTATCGCTAAAAACGCACGTCGACGGCGCGTTTAAAAAACCGTTATGTGCACCGGCAGGGTCATATAGTATATTGTTTTAAACTTTCATGGTCACTAACATTATAGTAATATAAGTTATTTACGGGATTGTTACCATGTACCTTCTTTTTAGCGAGTTTCCGATATTTCGGCGCTGTTGCAAGCACTATGATCACGGAGTAGGAAAGATCAGTTATTCCGTGATCATGGCGCTGTTGCAAGCGCCGTAATATCGGAAAATCGCTAAAATCAAGGTACATGGTAACAATCCCGTAAATAACTTATTATATATTACTATAAGGGTCATAAAGGTTTGCAAAGACTGTAAATAATAAAACTGGGAGAAAGAAACAATACTTGCTGAGTTTCTTGCCGGTTCTTCTCAGTACAAAGTCTCCTGCCGTAGATTTACGAACCGAAAGCGTAGCTTCTAGACATTAATGAGTGCTTGTAACAGCCTAAACTGAATAGAAGAAAGAAAGTTCATGAAGTTCTCCTAGAAAGCTAATAACGTTAAACATTACTCACAAGTTCCCTTCACAGTCACGTCATCAATATACTTTATTTACATTGTTAATATATATATATATATATACTAGCTGATCCAGCGAACTTCGTACCTCCATAAAAAATAGGGGTCGGTGGTAGAAGGGTGAAAATTTAGGGTTGTATGTATTTTTGTATGATGTATCGTAAAAAAAAATAAAAAATAAATGTCTAAAATTGAAAAAAAAAAATTTAGGGGTGGATTACCCTTAACATTTAGGGGGATGAAAAATAGATGTCCGATTCTCAGACCTACCCAATATGCACACAAAATTTCATGAGAATCGGGAAAGCCGTTTCGGAGGAGTTTAACCACAAACACCGCGACACGAGAATTTTATATATTAGATTAAAAATATTGTATATATATTTAAATGTATTCTATGCATGTATATTTAGGGTTTTTTTAAATAAATATTTATGTAGTTACTTTTATTAGTGTATGTTTATAGTGCATAACTTTTTTTTAATATAACCGCATTCGTGAATTTCCCTATGCCTTAAGGTTGACTGGCAGAGAATGCTTTTAGCGTTAAGTCCGCCTTTTGTCCATTCTTGTAATTGTGGCAATAAAGTTTAAATAAATAAAATAAATTATTTTGATTTTGATTATAAAAAGTCTACAGACTGCGTCTGACTCGCGTGCTTATCGCGTCTGTATCGTCCCAAACACAATATTTTATTCATCATCAGCCTATTAATGTCCCCACTGCTGGGGCACAGGCCTTCCCTATGGATGGAATAGAGAGATTGGGCCATGACCCACCACGCGGGCCCAGTGCGGATTGGTGGGTGCTAACGACTGCAGATGCAGCCAGGACCAACGGCTTAACGTGCCTTCCGAAGCACGGAGGAGCTCGAGATAGTAATTTTTGGTCACCCATCCAATGACCGACCACTGCGTTGCTTAAATTCAATGATCGCAGCCGAACGCGCTAACCACTTGCGCCATCGAGCTCCATAAATATTTTATTAGTTTCCTTATATTGAATAAATTAAAATCTGATTTCACATTTTTTCGCGGAAAATCCCAAAACTGCGACAAAACCCACTCAAATCTTTATTAAATCTCAAATGTTTCCTGTC